ACCAAGTTTCATTTTAATCACACGTGCCGATGCGGAGATATAAACTTGTTCATTTTAAAGAGCGCCACCTAGTGGTGATGGCCTGAAATTGTGCACGATGCCTAAGGAAGACATGGGGAACTATGGACCAAAGCTTGGTGTCAATCGGACATACCACTGTGGAGAAATGCTCCACTTCCTTTTTTGACGAAAAATGTACAGGAAGTCTTAATTTTATAGCGTTTTATATTTCTTTTGAAAATTTTAAAAATGTTCAAATTACTTTTTGTACCAGGGCCTTCCCCAGATGCCATGGGGGTGGAAAAATTCCGTGATGAATCAGACAAAGCGCAATAGGATTACACGAATTAAAGTGAGTATGACGAACATTTTGCCCTTTAGCAAAAAAAATCCTAGGCGGAAGTGGGCGTGGCCTATATGGGGAGTTTCAGCTCCATTCACCGAACCGCGTTGGCATTAAGTTTCTTGAATGGCGGGACAAAAAATTGAAGAAGGTTGATTGATAGTACCGAAAAAAGTCAAAATACTTTTCTCAACAGTAGCGCCACCTAGTGGCAGACCTGAAAGCGACACATAGAATATCCCATTTTCACCAGGCCTGACCACTTTACCAAATAAAACTGAGTTTTCGTATTCAACATGTTCAGGGGGGCAAAAACGCAGTCGAAGGCGCTAAAAATAATAATAATAATAGGTAAGAAGAAGAAACGAAGCAAAAACAATAGGGACCTCCAGCAATAACACTCTAATCAATAATAATAATTTACACTGATTAATAATAATAATAATGATCACATTAAACATTTTCTTCTGTTTTGTTTCTGCGTGCAGGGATTTTACTGCCGTACCCGTCAGATAATCTGGTTCTGGACGTGGTCCTGCTGCTGCTCTTCCTCGCTCTGGAGACTCTCCGGATCTTTTACGGTGAGAAAACACATAATGTTGAGTTTCCCTCGGGATAAATGAAGTATCCGTCTGTCTCTACACATTGTGACCGATAGAAAGACGTTAACACATCCTGTTCGGTTCTCTGCTGCCACCATGTGGACGACAGCTGCAGGTTCTTCTTTCTATCAGAGATTATTTCTGCCAGCGTGAGGACGGATTCATTCCTGTTCTTCCTGTGGACGTTTGTTCTGGAGGCAGAGTGGCGAACAGTCATGTGACGTGTGTGTTTGTTCAGGTTGGAAGGGGAACCTGTGTGAGCGCTCTCTGGCGTCGTGTGCGTCGCTCTTCATCCTGCTGCCCTGCGCCGCGCTGGCTGTTTACTACCTGCTGCTGCAGACCTTCGTCCTGCGGCTGGAGTTCATCCTCAGCGCCGTCCTGCTCTTCTTCTACAGCCTCGAGTTCCTGCTCGGACTCCTCTCCATATCCTCCTTCTCCAGGTGACCCCCCCCCCTCCTGGTTCTCCGTTCAGTTAAAGCCTGTATTTATTCTTCTACATGTGGAAATGTTCACTTTGTTTTTCACTGCAGGTCCAAAGTTTACTGAAGCAGAAACATCCGACTTCACCTGAAACAGAACGCAGCTTGTACATACATTTTATATTTTCATATTAAAGTGAGTCTGTTTGACACCGACTGTTTTCTTCTCTTGGTTTTAAACAATCACATGATGAAGGGGTACTTCTGTTTCCAGTAGGGGGCGCTGTGACTGCCTGAATATTAGCAGGTAGATTAAATCAGAGAACGTTCACTCCAGTTACAACTTCCTTTTTCAGGGCGATTCTTCGATTTTCAAAACCTCAGGATTATGATAACTTTCATCATGAAACTTTAAAAAGATCCTCAAATAAACAACAAGGCACCGTGCATTAAAGTAAACCCTCTCCCCTCAGTTCAGGCATTCATTTAATCCATCGTTACAAACCACTGTGATTTAATAATGAATCATTTGAGTCGGTATCGTCCCTCCTGCTCTTCCATCAAACTTTAGCTGCGTTGTCGAGGATCAGGTATTAAATCTAACTTAGTGAACCTGCAGCAGTGTGATGTTCCCGTCCGTCTCTTTCAGAATAAGACAGAATAATAAAATGAGGATGAATTATAAATATCTCACTTCAGTACGAACATTAAGACCAAAGTGTGGTGAGACTTTATATAAATAAAATGTTTAATATTTAAATAGTATTTGATCTTTTTCCATTTTTAAGGTTTTTATACCAAACATGAGGATGGTATTGTGGAGTGTGCACACGTACCAATCACAGATCAATAATGTTGGCTGACAGGTTCTAAATGAAGAGCGACTCTGGATGATCTGGATCACTAACCAGAGCCGGGTTTCCTTCACTAGAAGGAGGTTCTAGACGTTGTAGTGAGTGGAGCTGCAGTAATATAAAGGTTCATCTGGTGTCTGCTCTGTTCTTTGTGTCAAACATTAACAACCTACAGCCTATTTCTATTCAGTCACATCATCGATCACACATTTTCATTTACTGATGTTTCTAAACTGTTTAACACTTATAATATACAGTGGGTACGGAAAGTATTCAGGCCCCTTTAAATGTTTCACTCTGTAGCAAATGGCTGCAATGAAACAATCAAAGGTTCATGTTATTTCTCATTAATGTGCTCAGCACCACATCAGATAAAAAGGACTGTTAGTGTACACACCACACACACACACCACACACACACACTCACACACTCACTCACACACACCACTCACACACTCACTCACAACACACTTCAA